CTGGACCTCCCTCTCTAGATCATGTATGTCCTTCCTGACACGCCTGGGTGGGGGAGACTTATGGTTTGGATGACTTTCACGGCAACACCCAATTAGGTACTACAACGAAAGCATATGATTATGCTGACGTAAGGGAAGGACTTTTGCCTCCTCATGTAGATGGTCCACTGGTGTCATGAGGAGGCACCCTGTCGCAGTTCTCAGGGCAGCGTTCTGGCAGGTCTGGATATGCTTCCACTGCGTAGCACTAGTATTCGCAGACCACACTGGAGCCGCATAGCTGACCACAGATCGACCTATCGCGTTATAAGAGGTCAACAAGAGCTGCCGGCTAGCGCCTTGAGGACCTTGTTCCTACTTTTCATCTTGTCGCAGATAGCTGTGGCTTGCGCGGACGACTTGAACATGCTGTCGAACGTGACCCCAAGAATCTTGGGGTAGTTCGTGGCCGGTATTAGATTCCCCTCGACCTGCCGTTACTGGCGTCCACACATATAGTTGATTATCCAACGTTTCAAACTTGGCCGGAGGGTAGTTCTCTGCACGTCCTCAAACAGTGTGGCATGATTGACCGTATCAAATGCCTTTGATAAGTCAAGGGCTACCAACACTGTTCTGTCACACGGCCTGTTCTGGTTCAGTCCTCTACTAATATGTGGAAATGGCGTGTAATGCTGTTGTGGTACTATGTTGTGGACGGAATCCGTGCTGGTGGTTGGCAACTGTATAGCTTCCTCTAATGCTGGGGAGAAGTAAAGCCTCAAGAGTCTTTGCTACTGGCGACAAAAGCGAAATCGGCCTGTACGATTCGCCTTTACTGGCATCCTTGCCTGGCTTCAGTAGCGGGATCACCCGGCCCATTTTCCAGGTTTCGGGCACTATGTGGGTGACTAGCGACAAATTGAGAATTTTCGTTAAGTACTCGACTACCGGCGTATCCAGCTGCTTCAACATTACCATTGGGATTCCGTCCGGGCCCAACGCTTTGGATGACTTAGCGTTACGGATGACATTTGCAACATCACCCATTGTAAACTGTGGTGGTTCCTCCTCGGCGGGAAGAGTTCTGATACGACGTAGTACTCTTCGCTTCGCCCTATCGCTCTCGGGGTGCTCGACAAATTGTCGGTTAAAATATTCCGCGCACCTCTTCGGATCAGTCACCGTTACGTCGTTAAAAGTGACTGAGGTCCTATCATCCTTTTTTCCAGGGTTCGAGAGCGACTTAACCGTTACCCACAGCTTACTCATATCGGTTCCAATGTTGCAGCACTTCAGATGGTCTAGCCACTTTTTCCTCTCATGCTTCTGTACCAACCGGTTGACTTCCACTGTCAAATCACTGATTGTAGGATCAGTAGGGTTGGTACGACGGAGATCATCACGCTCGTTTGCTAATCCCGCTGCCTCTGCTGGGAAGTTTGGTCTTATCTTGGGTATTCGACCAGCAGGTATATAGCGAGCGGCTGCAGCTTTGATGATGTTTCGGAAAATCCTTTCTGACGGCTTGCCAAGTCACGTCATTTATCAGACCGGGTGACACCATGGTTAAGTCTGGCGAACTGTGACACTCTCCTCTCACTCGGGGGGGGGGGCATCCTCGTTAACCGTGCAGAATGTGGAGCAGTCAATCTGCTCTGCCAGCGCTGATCCCCTCTGGTCATTACCTAGGACGGAATGCCACAACTCATGGTGGGCATTAAAATCCCCTAGTACCAGGCGGTTATTGCCTACCAATAATGGACTAATATCAGGCAAATAACGCGGTTCACAGCTATTAATCGGCGGGATATACACATTAAGCACCTCTACCTCGGCAGTTCCACACTTGACTGCTACCCCCATACATTCCATGCATGGGTCCCTAGAGACTAGCTCAAGCGAGATAGGCCTGTATTGAACAGAATAGTGTAACAGGAACGCTAACCCCCCACCTCCACTTCTGCTGCGATCCTTCCTTGGTACGTTGTAACCATAACGTTGTAGGCTGCAATTTTCATTCAGCTTGGTTTCCTGCACCGCTGCGATTTTAATATTCCTCCGACTCATAAATTCCACTATCTCATCTATTTTGCCTCGAAGTCCGTTGCAAGAATGATGCACAATCCGGAGTTGGAACAGCAACATGTGGCGTTAGGTGCTGCGGTGTTGGTTGCTGTTCTGGAGACTGCGGTGGAGTGCCATACTCCGACGACGTCTCTGATGAGGACGACGAAGAAGTGGACTCGCTGGGGACTACGTTACTGCAGCAAGTCGCAACATAATCCCTTTCGCTGTAGTCTCGCAAACGCCTTAGTCCGGAACAGTTAGTTAATGTTAGTTGTTGTGGCTGGTGCATACACCTTATAAATACATCTTGCTCAGCACACAAAGTTAACCCACTGGATGAAAGTATAACTGGGGCAGAAGGGTTCTATCTTAACCATGGTAGAAGAATACAGGTAGTCTCATCGAAACAGCTGCTGGGACAGTGAACTGTCAAACCAATTTTGAAATGGAAAAAGTTAAATGAAAAACTGTTCAAAATTATAAAAATCTTTTAAAAATGTATATCATTACTACCTCCGATTAGTATCGCATAAGAAATCTTATAAAAATCTACTACTTTTTGAAAAAAAAAAAAAAACATTAAAAAATTTTTGACTTAAGGTAAGGTCACATTGGGCAAATATTTGACGAAAAATGTCAAATATTTCTTTGTCACAATCTGACCAACAAATATTATTTGACGGCAAATACAAAAACAGCTGATTTTGGGAAAACAAAATTATTTGCCAGGAAACAAAAATTTTACCAATGTGTCCATAATGTGAACACATATCAATTATTTTCCTCATTTTTTGTCAAACATTTATTTGACGTTGCAAATGTTTTGTAAGGTCAAACAAGGAAAAATATCGGTTTAAAACATTGTCTCACCATTTTTCTTTAAGAACAGAAGCATTTGTAACGTGATGTTTAAAGAATATAATGACAAACGAGTGCAATAAGTAGTTTTGTTTGTTTGGTATTTTTGAATTAATTAACAAAGCCCACCTAAGTGAGTAGTAGGTCAAGATTTCTTCTCAAAATAATTTTCTATATCTATATATATTTATAAAAAATGTTTACATATGGTTGTTCCAGAACTGCATGAATGTAAATGTTTTTACTACGACAACCGATTTTGCCTTTATGATATCGAAGAAAATTGCAAAACTAGTCGATTCTTGCAGGTTCTGGAACATCCCAAATAATTGAACACAACAGCATACTACTCTACTATGAATTTTATGCACCATGATATACATATACATTCTTATACGCGTGCATATAAACATACAAAAATTGCAAAAATAAAGTTGTTCTGGCAAGACATTTATTTCACAACAGCCGGTCTTTTGTTTCCCTTCTCCAAAATAAATTACACCCGAAACTCTATTTTATGTATGTCTCTCCTTCACTCTCTCTGTCTATTTCTCTCGGCCAAATAAACTTATGTTTCCTCAGAGTTTGATCAAACAATTTCATGGGGAAAATATATTTTATGAATGTGAACATGTGTCAAACATGTTTTCCCATAGCACTATTTGACGCTGTTTGGTGACTGCTTGAACAAACAAAATCTGTCAAATATTTGACTGTAATGTGAACATCGAATCAACTCTGTATGAATTTCGCATTTGTTCAGTCAAATGTGGGATAAAAAATTTCGATCAAATATTTGCCCAGTGTGACCGTACCTTTATTAATATATCCAGGCGTTGACACATCTACCTGTATTCTTCTACTATGATCTTAACGCACCTTCTCTGCTTCATTGTAAAGCTGCCCTCAGACACACCAACAGTTGGCCCAACTTGTGACAAGTTTGTACAACTATTGGTGCGTCTCAGGGCTAGTTGTACATCTTTTTCGAAAGTTGGTTGGAAATATCAAAAATTATTGATAATTTCGTAAGTTGGGCCAACTGTTGGTGCATACGAGGGCAAGTTTTACCAACTTCAGTGTTTTCTTCATTTATGTCTTGACTTTGGTGAAGCAGCACATACATAAGCTGAGCGCTGAGCGCAAGAAGAGAAACGAAAACAAAACATAATCATAAAAATTTATTTCTGTTTATGAACCACTGCTTTGACCACATATTTTTCTTCAGCTTTTTCTTTCTCTGCAGTTGTCTTTCTTCTTCTTCCTCTAAAATTATATCAATTCCAAGTAGCGCAAGAGCATCCGAGTTCATGTTGACGCTTCAAAAATACTTTGTAAATGAAAAGTTGGTACAACAGTTGTATGAAAAGTTGGTACGTGCGAGGAGACCGACCAACTTTTTCATACAACTTAAAAGTGACAAGTTAGGCCAACTGTTGGTGTGTCTGAGGGCAGCTTAACAGTGGTACATGGCAGAAGAATACAGGTAGATGCATCAACGCTTGGGAGCATTGATATGTCAAAAAAAAATTAAATGTTTATTCAAATATAGGTAGATTTTTATATGTTTTCTTATACTACGTCATTCGGAGGCTATTATAATTTGCGTTTTTCAACAATTTTTACAAATTTAAATAATTTTATTTTTTCATTCAACATTTTCAATTCCAAAATTGGTTTGACAGTTCATTGTCCCAGCAGCTGCGTCGACGCGTCTACCTAAATTCTTCTACCATGCAGTGTTACCATGGTAGAAGAATGTAGGTAGACGCTGTTACAGAGGCTATAAAAATTCTACTTCCTCACCATCGCAAAATGTTTTGTACGGCTGTATTAGAAAAATATGACAGGACCATATCTTATAATCTACGAATAGAAACGAATTGTTTCAATTGTCAAAATTGAAAATATTCAACCTTGAAATTTTGTTGGACCAACGTCCTAATAAATACATGTGTTTTACTTGTATTGTGAATAACGTCGAATTTTAGGTAATGCTGTTTGAATGCTGAGTTATGCATTGCTGACAATGTGTACATAGAATGACATTTCACAAGCTTATTTTGGCGCAGGGGTTGGTAACCTTTATAAAGTTTGGTTTGTGTTTGTGTTCATAAACTCAATTCTATTAAGACGTGAAATCGACATTGTCAAGTTGTAGAAGTTTTCTTATTGAAACGTCAGTTGTATTATTTCCAAATTGTCGGGTTGCCACAAAAAGTTTTTGAAACAATTTTGACACTAAATGTATATTTTGTCTGAAATATAATCGTAGCTGCAATTGTCCAGCTTAACTTGCTGGGTTCACCTACATAGTGTTTGATAAATTACATTCCTCTATATATACGTATATATGTATATATATGGATTTTTATGCATTTGCAACTAAAGTAAGAAATTTACAACAAAATTCGGAATGAGTGATCGCGAATTTCCCAGCGTGCCGGTGACTACACTTGCGGGTTTAACAAGTCTATCCGATTGTAAGAGTTCTTGTATTTGTGTCGATAATTGTATTTTATTTTTTTATGCGTTTCAGTGCTCAGTGAACTTCCTGTATCGGAGTCATTTGGAACGTCCATTAGCAATAAATCTCTCTTATTTCATACACTTGTGGCAAGCGAATCAAAGAATTTGCTTTCGTTACGAGACGATGAATTAACTAGACAGTTGGTTCAAGCTATTGAGGGAACTGATTCGGAATTTATGTAAGTAATATTGGAATCTATAAATTATTACTAGAAAATAGAGCATATTATTCCCGGCTTTGTTGGGTTTAGGTGCTATGCCTACATCAGCCTGAAAATTGTATGACATGCTGGTATTTAATTTTAACTTTGATTTTTAGCAATATTTTTGTGTGTGGGAAGATACGTCTATCTACCCGAATGGCGAAGCCGGTGTTGGACATTCCACAGAGGAGCAAATCACAAGCCTTCTCTAAAAACCTTTAGTTCGCGAAACTGGGGTTGGACATACCATAAAGTAGAAAATAACTTGTGAGCAAGTTGAGTTTTAGGGGCTATGCTCGGATCATTTTGAAATTTTTACCGCATGTGGGTATTTTTAACCTGATTAAGGGAAAGTAATTTTTTCGTGGGGAAATACCCAGTTACCTGGTTATTTGACCCGAAAGTTCGAATACAAAATAAGGTTTTTATCCGGTTCTACAAAGCCGTTATGTACAAAATGGAATCATTTGAAAGCTTATGGAATTACATATCCAAGTTGTCATATCGTTCCGGAGTAATGCAAGAAAATTTGTATTTTTATACCAGTACTTTTTGAAAAACACTTACAAACTTGAAAATAGACCCATTATGGTGTATTAAGATCTACATGATACATTATAGCCTATATTCTTGCCTTTCCAAAATGGTGCTGATATTTCTTATAGTTCCAAATATATATAGTGATGCAAATTATGAAATTGAGATTTTCTCCACTAATATGTATCTAAGCATATTAAAGTAGGCGGCCTTCGGGCGGGTCCTGAGATTTTCCCCTCTGGGGTGTGTCCAACACCGGCTACGCGATCTATAGTTTTCCTAAACATTGTAATTTTGGTAAGTAGCCGGCCTTCGGCCGGGGCTTGATATTTTCTCCTCTGTCTAACACTGGCTACGCGATCCATAGTTTTTCTAAACATTGTAATTTTGGAAGGTAGCCGGCCTTCGGCCGGGTCCTGAGATTTTTCCCTCTGGGGTATGTCCAACACCGGCTACGCGATCCATAGTTTTTTTAAACTTTGTAAATTTTGTAAGTAGCCGGCCTTCGTCCGGGGCTTGAAATTTTCTCCCCTAGGGAATGTCCAACACCGGCTACGCGATACATAGCTTTTCTAAATATAATTTTTGTAAGTAGCCGGAATTCGACTTTAAAGACAGTATCTTCGGAACTACAAAGCTATATAGGTAAGATACATATTAGTGAAGGAAATCTCATTTCATGATTTGTAACACTAATATCTTCGGAACTGCAATCAATACCTATAGCACCTGGCCAGAGGCCAAAGGCCAGAGTGTAGGCTACAATGCAGTATGCAGTTTCTAATACCCCATAATGGGTCAATTTTCGACTTTTTATGGGTTTTTCAAAAATATCAACTTTTTGTATTACTCCGGAACCGATTGAAACCAACCAACTTTTTAGAAAGGTACTTCCATAAACTTTCAAATGATACCCATTTTGTACATTTCTGTTGTGTACAACCGGGTCGAATAACCGGGTAACCGGATATTTCCCCTACAAAAAAATTACCTTGGCGTAATCAGGTTAAAAAGATCTACACGTGGTAAAAATACGAGCATAGCCCCTAAATTCAACTTAAGCCATAACTTGCGCTCGCGAAGCCGGTGTGGGACATCTCCAGAGGAGGAAATCTCAAACCCCGACTGAAGGCCTGCTAAACCCAATTTATTCCACCGGCTACTAACAAAAAACTTAGTAGGGTTCAGGGCTCGAAGCTACAACATCGCAGTGTATCTGCTTAGAGAACAGTATATCCCGGAATACCTGCTCCGCATTCTTTTGGCCCGTGTCGAGATCAAAGTAAACCTCGGGCCTTAGTGCTGATCTGTCTGATGTGGTGATTAGATCAGAAATTGTTCCATATTAAGCGAGACTACTTCACCATTTGAAACGAAGATATATTTAATTTTCTATTCCATTTGTGTTTTGACGATGTAACGCTTGCAGCCATTTAGTTATTTAAAAAATCAATCTCACTAGTAATTGCAGTTATAAGTGGAACACGTTTGAATATTGAATCTAGATGTTTTAACTTATAATTGGTTTCTTCGCCTCATGGTAAAGAGTATTAAAGTTCGGTCTAGCGAACTTAACGTTTTTAAATTGTTTGTAGAACGCCTTTGTATATCTTACCTTTTAGTTGAGCTGCTTCGGTGCTGTCCTTTTATGAGTGGTCGTTGAGTGATACAGCTGTACTTTTTGCAGTGCTGACTCGGTGACTTAGCTGTCCTTTATTATGGAATTGCTCGAGTGATGTTGCTGCCCTGAGGTTTGAAGTCCTTGGTATTTTACGAGTTTTGTTAACAAATAATGCCCACTGTACAATACCATATTTTTTTTGTATATTTAATTGTTGTTGTAGCACTGTAAATTTGCTGCGTTGTTTATATTCTGATTAATCCGGTTATTCCTCAATGTCCTGGTTTAGGAATTCTGCTACATTTATGGGCTGTAGCCAGAGATCCTCTGGACGGAGTTGGGTAGGCTTGGCTGGACTATTAATAGAAACGCTGGACAGGCGTTCCGCACATCTTCGTCAATTCGTGCACAATACGAGGATGGTATTCATACTGTTTAACTACCTTTGCGACTGCATCAGTATGAATGCTATTCAGACCCGCTTGATAAGCTTCATGATCTAGGGGCTCTCTCTTATATCGCTGGACCTCTCTCTCTAGATTATGCAGGTTCTTCCTGACACGCCTGGATGGCGGAGTTCTGTGGGGGAACTCCCTGTTTCACTGGTGGGTGAACTCCCTGTTTCACTATACGAGGCTTCTTATTCCGGAATTCCAGGTACGACTGGCTTCCACACATATAATTTACTATCCAACGTTTCAAACTTGGCGGGAGGGTAGTATTCTCAACGTCCTCGAACAGCGTGGCATGGTTGACCGTATCAAAGGCAGGCCTTTGATAGATCGAGAGCCGCCACTACTGTTCTATGGCACGGCTTGTTTTGGTTGAGTCCTAGACTGATATGTGTGGATATGGCGTGCAATGCTGTTGTGGTGCTGAGTGCGTAGTACTCTTCGCCTCGCCCTATCACTCTCAAGGTGCTCGATAAATTGGCGGTTAAAATGGCCAGCGCACCTCTTCGGATCAGTCACCGTTACGTCGTTAAATGTGACGGAGATAATCACGATCGTTTGCTAATCCCGCTGCCTCTGCTGGGAAGTTTGGTCTAATCTCAGGTATTCGAGCAGCAGGTATATAGCGGCTGCAGCTTTGATGATGTTTCGGAAAATCCTTTCTGCTACCCGAATATAAGAAGGGTTGGGCAGTTCTCTGAAGCGGCGGTTGGTTAATTATCTGAACTCTGGTCAGTGAGGTTTCCCATTGTTAAGGAAAGTGCGACGTTGAGGGTTTGAAATCGGGCGACCTGCTTATGGATACGATTATCGGGAGATGGTCTGAGCCAAGAGAAATGACGGGTTGCCAAGTCTGGTAATTTATCAGACCGGATGACACTATGATTAAGTCTGGCGAACTGTGACACTCTCCTCTCATTCGGGTGGGGGCATCCTCTTTAACCGTGCAGAATGTGGAGCAGTCAATCTGTTCTGCCAGCGCTGATCCCCTCTGGTCATTACCTATATCGGAATTCCACAACTCATGGTGGGCATTAAAATCCCCAAGGTCAGGCGGTTATTGCCTTCCAAAAGTGGGCTTATATTAGGCAAGTAACGCGGTTCACAGCTATTAATCGGCGGGATATACACATTAAGCACTTCTACCTCGGCAGTTCCACACTTGATTGCTAGCTCAAGCGAGATAGGTCTGTATTGAACAGAATGGTGTAACTTGGGAAACTTGTCTTCGCGACGGTAATTGAAGAAGATCTAATTATTGTCCAATTTGCATCGTCACATCAAACCAGTTTTGGCTGTTGACGATGTTTATTTATTGGAATTTACCGGTGGCTGCATAAATGTATGTGTATGTGTTTTCATTATTTACATCATTTTGTTTTGATGCTGTGATGATGCGGCCGCATATCCGGTAAATACTTAACCAACAGTGTTGGGCAAAATTGTGAAAATTTTAAAAATTTTTTGGGCCCCGAATGACAAGTGAGATAGGTCTCCTTTCTCCTTTATCCGTTCCTCGGGATATTCTTGATTGGCCCAGCAAAGATGTAGCTCAGTTGTGTATTATAGGCAACGATATCTCCAATTCCAGCTGCTGTACACCCATCTTTCCTTATGGCGGAGTAAGTGTCCGCTCCCAGTTCCACATCGATTGGACTGTTTCCTCGGGGATCAGGGTCAGCAAGGGCGTAATTCGTGAAACATCTCGTGGGGCTTCTAATATGGGGTCTGAGTACATGCGTCTGGGCAGGTCTTCGATTATTAGCGCATTTACCTTCAGACTCCAAGTAGAGTTTGTACGGTGAGGCAAAATGGTAAAAGTGGTAAATTGCCCACCGTTGTAGTTGCGCGACTGAAGACCCAAGCGACGGAACTCTGCATATGAAATTTTTGACATCGTCGCAGATTGACTTACTATGGCCCGCAACATGCTAAAGCCCTCCATGCCCTCGGCCGTTATGGGCACCATAGCCGTTGGTACAAATACCTAATACCACGCGAAAATCGAGCGACACTTCGTCTGATTGGGACCCACCGTGCAGTAAAGTATGGTGCCGGTCATTGCATTTCCGGCAACCAGTTAGAGACGGGCAGTCGGGGGTCAAATGACTTCTCGCCAGACAATTTCGGCAATACCCCGACGCTCCACTGTCTCATACCGCTGGAAGGGCATCTGCCTGCGGAACCTCTCACTGGAATATTTCCAGTAGCTAGGTCTCTCATGGCGCTGGCGTAGCCTTGCGTCGAATCTACTTCGTTGACGTCTTTCAGGGGATGTGGAACTGGGACAATGGATTGGCCGTATAAGTCTATTGGGGCTTCTTGCTATTAGACGAACAGGTGAGTCTGGGCTACGGCTGCGATCG